AAAAAAATGAAAGGAAAAAAAATCAAATTTGGAGTACGGCATGGACACCCCCTTTGGGTTTTTTGCACAAATTTACCTAAATAAAAAAATTGAAATAAAAATAAGAAAGTTGACAAAAAAAGAAAAAGAAAAAGGGAAACAAAAAGGAAAAGAAATATAAGGTATTACGTCGACTAAAATGAAGGTCAAACAAAATTTAGAATGAGTAAAAAGTATATAATGGATGGATGGATTATATATTAATTATATATAAATAAAATATTTTTATTAAATTAAGATATTAAATAATAACTTTATTAGGATAATAATATATATAAATATACAATGACATAAATAATTAAAAATATATATTACATATATACTTGAAGCAAAATGAAAAATTCTAAACCCACCTTTAATCTAACCTTATTTTAAAAAAAGAAAAATTTTGATCCGATATAAAATTTTTAAAAACAGACATATATTGGATCAAATCAAATAGAAATCTATGTGATTTGAGTTGTTTTATCATCTTTACATCTAGTGTTTTTTTTTTTTTTTTATAAAATTTATCTAATTTGAAAAAGTAAAAACAAAATTGAAAACAAAAAAATGAAAAAAAGAAAAGGAAACCAAATGGAGATGGTACATAAATTTATTAAATTAAGTTATTAAATAACAATTTTATTAATATAATATATATAAATATAAAATTAAATGAAAAATAAAACATATGTTTATATATACCTGAATGAAATGAAACATCTTAATCTTATATCTGACTTAATCTTGATTTTTGAAAAAAGATTCAATTTGATCCAAAAACTAAAAATCAGAGCTATTGGATCCAAAGGAACCAAATCTTGTCGGATACAAGTTATTTTTCATGCGTAGTTTCATTAATATTTTTTTTCAAAAATTTAATTATTAGTATTTTTTTTGTGTAAAATTTATCTAATTAAAAAAAATGTATATGAAAAAAAAAAGAGTACCATGTTTATATATTTTATGAAGAAAAGGAAGAAGGTTGAATTTTCAAGCAACATTAGCAATTATAAGTTTTTCTTAAAAAATTTATATCATAGATTTTAAAAAAACTAAAAATTAAAAGAAAAAAAAAGACCAAAATTATCAAATTAAAAAATAACAAAAAAGGAAAATTTGTATTTTAAATAATCATATCAAATGACCCATATTAAAATTTTAAAATATTAAAACTATTTTTTAAATATTTTTTTTAAAAAAATTAAATAAATCAAATGACTTAACATGTGTCATATCCTTGATTTCGAGTGGATCTTATAAAAAATTAAAAGTTAAAATTGTTTTTATTAAATATAAAAAAAACACATGGTATATTTTTGATATTAAGTGCATTACATATAAAAAATAAAAACTAATAAATTAAATATTTTTTAGAAAATAAAAATCATATAAAATAAGAAAAGCAAAAATAATAAAAAATTGATATAAGTAAATCCCATACATAAAAACATAAAATCTAAAATATATACATTTTTATAAATTAAAAAATATTTATTAAATTAAAAAAAAAGTAAAAAAAAAAAAAGGCAAGATGTGGCGCTCCTTTAAATATTTTTAAAAAATAGTAAAAAAAAAATCGACGCATGAGACGAATGCAGAATCGTACATATGCAGATTTATATATAAGATATTAATGAGTACTCGCAGAAACGGAGCCATCAGCTACATGCTTCGTGGCAAATCGAACCAATGAGGTGAAGAAAGAATCGTGGATTTGTTGTGGTTGAAGGTACCCCTTGATGGCCACAAAATTATTCAATAGTCTTTTCTCTCCTCAAATCTTTCAAAGTGACCAGAAAGGCGAACAAATTAACAATTGGGGGTTTTCTCAATAAGTTTATCACAAGAAGAATGCTTTTTTTTTTTTTTTTTTCACAAAGTATAGGGGAAAAGAGCTTGATTCGAAATTAAATTTTTTATATTTTCATCAAACATTTTAATTATTAGGTCAAAAATTTGGGAACACTAAAAATAATTTTGAATTCATATTTTATTAGTGAAGATCTTTTGTTGTAATTAATCGTGCATGCAAGATTTTTATGTAGTAATTTAGATTTTGTTTCATAAAAAAAGCAATAAAAAATTATGTAGTAAGAATTTAAAATTATTTATATAAGATCAAAAACAATTTCCTAATTAATTAATTGATCAAATTGAAATTTGAGAATTTCTAAAAAAAATGTATATAATATATTTGAGGAAAAAAGGTTTCTAAAAAAGTTCAATTTTCAACAAACATGTGTTCTAACAATAAAATACTATTTTTTTATTTTAATAATCAAAATCAAAATTTGATATTCTCAAATACAACAAAATTCTTAATTTAAACATAAAATTATAAAATATTTAAGACTTAAACGATATACTACTAATCGATACTCATTTTCACGTATAAGTTCATTACTAAAAAGGGAAACAAAAAGATTTCTTAATGATAAACATATAAGGGACAACAAAGATACAACAAATAAATACTTTTGATATCATATTAAGGATTTAATTTAAAATTAATCAATAATAAAATATTTTTTTATTAAAAAAAATTAAGAGTAAATAAATTATTTAAAATTTTAAATCATGATAAAATATATTATATTAAATAATTTAAGATAAATGATTGTAAATAATATATTATAAATGATTTTAATAAATAATAATTATCAAAATTTAAATTTAAAATTTTTTATCAAAAAAATTAAATTTAATCGATTGAATCAATTAAATAATTTTCAAAACTTACCGGACCATAACCCCACTTATGATCTGCTATAAAGACTGAGTTGCAGAGAATGGTTGCTGCGGGCACAATGAAAAAGATGAGAAATGACAAAATAGGGTACTTTTGACTGTTTCATCTTAGACTTTTCTACCTAGTCGTAAGTAAATAGTAGAAATAAGATTTATCCAAAGGATGAAAGCAGTATCAGATTCAGATCAAAGTTTATAGGACCCCTTTGGATACATATATATTGTACTTTGCAACCCTTCCTCTGTGTTAGAACAAAAAAAAAAAAAAAACTGTAAAAAACTGCCATTCAAATAGAAATGTTATATCTTATAAAAATTTAGATAATAATCTTAAAATTTATCAGACTTGAGTTAGTGACATTAACTTAATTGAAAAAAAAGATACTCAAAGATCAAAAAATAAAATAAAATCTATATTTTTTACTTTTTAAAGTAAAATTTGAATTTAAATTTCAAAAATTTTAAACTCATTGGGCCTATTTTTTTTCCCCACTTTTAAATAGTAATTACACATTAACTTATCTCATTTCTCCCCAAATGTTTACAAAACTACAATTGTTTACTTTTTCACCCACCTCGTGGTGTGCAGGTAACTAGTTGATAATAAATTTAAAGTTTCATCCCCGTAAATCTTACTTGAAATAAAATTCTCACAATGTTTATAAATATTTTAATTCATGAATTTCGAACCTTTTTTGTATAAATAAAATCGTGAAAAAGTTTATGGCTTATTAATATTTTATTTTGGTTTTGTTTTGTTGAATGCAGCATTAGACAGCCAATGGCTAATTCCTAGATTTCGTAGGCCTCTTTTTGAAACATAAACGCTTGTTTGAACATTTTAGTTTGAATTGACTTCATATCTATGCATCTATTTTATACATTATATTAAAATAATTTTCTATTTTTTTTTTCAAAAAAACTATTATTTTTAATATTTTTATGTTAAAATATTAAAAAAAATTAGGGGTTGGTTGGCTGCCATGTCCTTGGAGACAGCTTTTATTTTTAGAAAAATATTTTTTTTTAAATATTGTCATATGGTTGTTTTTGATTGATAAGTGATAGTATATTTTTTAATTTTTAAAAATATTATTTAAAATTTTTTAATGTTAAAATATGAAAATACAGAAAAATATGAAACATGGAGAGAGAGAGAGAGAGAGAGAGAGAGAGAGAGAGAGATAAAATTTCTAATAAGAAAATTTTGAAATAATGAAACCAAATATCCTCAAGTTTTCAAAAATACTATTATTATTTTTATTTTCTCCCTTAAAGTTAAAATACATAAAAAAAGAAAAAAGAAAAAGTAAGGCATGAAAAGTGGGAAGAGAAAAAAAGAAATGTTCAAACAGTTTCTTTTTGGAAAAAATTAAACTAGATATTCATGAATACTAAAATCTTTCAAAAATTCAAATCAAATACCCAAAAAATTAAGTTTGCAAAAATTCAAATAAAATTCCAGAATTCAAATAACAAAAAAGTAAAAAAAAATTCAAAGCAACTTTTGATTCTCTTTTTTCTTTTTGAATCTATAATTCACCCATATTTAAAAATTGCAAAAATTATAAAAGAATTAAATAATTACAAATAATAAAAAAATTCATAAATGAAAAAATTACAAAATAAAACAAGAAAAATTCAAAAATGATAATTCATTCACACACTATAATTCAAAAAATGATAAAATATTTTTTGAACTAAAAAATAAAAAAAAGTAAAAAATATTGGGTGAGAAATTGATTATTTTCAGATTAAACGTTCCAAAAACGATGGCAAAAAAAAAAATAATGGTATTTCTGAAACAAATAGTATTTAATATCTTTAGAAGAAAAAAAAAAGCCCTCCGACAATTGAGTGACTCGTATAATTTTAGTAAAAAAAAAAAGTCTTATTCTTTAAATAAAGATCTCGTTTAGTGGTATAATCCAAAACCACATTGGTACTCCGAGTGGTAATTCCATTTTTATTCCAAAGGAAGCTCCAATGCAGTGAGAATGATTCGCCGGACAAGTCTAAGATACATACAATTTTTATCAATAATGAAAAAATAAGAAGACATTTAATACAAAAATTAATGTGAAATACCAACTTTATTTTCATTTAGTATCAACTAAAATAGAGTTGAAAAAAAAAGTTATAAATATCTTATCAGAAAAAAAAAAGGAAAAAGAAATTGTTTGATAAAAAAAACAAAAATAGAAGGAAATAACTTGAAGAGAGAGAAGAGAGACAGAGAGAGAGAGGCTGGAAAAGAAGATGACATGCAGCAAATGCAAGCAGCCACTTTTGCCCCTCCCTTCCTCTCTACTCTTAACTCTCTCAACCTCAACTTCGTCGCCTCGTATCTTTATTGGACTCAAAGCCGCTTTTCTCCCCATTTTTTTTTTTGGGTAATAGTATAATTTTTACCTTTCCTTTCTTTCCGCCTTTTCCTTCTCTTTTCTCTCTTTCATTAAGAATTAGAACAAGTCCTCCACTCCTCGAATCTCCCCTGAAAGAAAAGAAAAAAAAAAAAAAACACTAGAATAATAAAAACCCGCAACAAAAAGAGAGGACCCATTTAATACTGCAAACAGAAAAATATATAGTATATTATTATCTACATATTATTGTTTTTTTTATTTTTTTATTTTTGAGATGAAAAGAGAGAAGGAATAGGAATAAGAAAGCCTTTCAACTCTCAACCCCAAGTCATGGATTCTTTTGTTGTGGCGGAATTTCAAGCATCCTTTCTTGGTATTTGTTACGCCTTATTCCCATCATCATCATCATCATCATCATCATCATCACCATCATCATCATCATGTTTCATTGTTTCTCCCTTTCTTTCTCTCTCCTTTCTTATCTGTTTTTTTAAAAGAAATTTGTTTATTTATTTTGTTAATACTATTTTTGTTTCTAATTAGTGTTTTTTTTAAGAGGAAGTTTCTGTCTTTTTTCGTTACAGGCTTCAAAAAGTTGGGGTTTTTATGGTAATGTGGGTGTTGTGTTGAGTGCTCTCCTATTATTCAGCTGTTGTTCCCATGGATTCCCATTTTCAGGGTAATTTTTTTTATTTTTCTTCTTTCTCATAATGTAAGTTCTTTTTGTTTTTGGATTTTCTGGCCGATATGTAATCTGGGTATTCTATATTTTGTTTTGCTTTTGGTTTTTAGTTTATTGAAGATCTTAAAGGTTTGATCTTTCAAAGGACTCGCAATTTGAATGAAAATTGATTCTTTTTTTTTTTTGTTCATTTCTTGGTTTTGTGGTTCTGGGTGTTGATTAGAATTTTTGGGTTTCTCTGTACATCAGTAAAGAATTTTCCTTCATTATACTTATTTTTCAGTTAGATGATTCTTTCTTTTTCTGGAAATATGTTGAAATTTGAGATCATCTTATCTTTTGATCTTCTTCAGCATTTTGATATATTGGTTTCTTACAAATTTATTGTGGTGGGTGAATTTGACTGTTAATTTGCTTTCATTATGGATAATGCCTGTGGTGTCTTTTCTTTGCATTATTACTATTATAACAATGCTTGATATAGATGTATATGAGGAAGAACTAACCTTACGTTCTATCACGTCTTCATATTTAATGAGCACACTACCATCTTAAATAACCCCATGTGACAAACCTGATGAAAGTGAGGAGCCTGAGGTTTTACAATGTCAAATGGCATTGTGTTCAATCCCTTACTTGAGGCGGCTATGATGTCTTCCAGTATCCTATTATTTTGAATTGTGCTGCAAACAATCTGCGGTATTTGATGTAGTTGGAACGTCCTTTTTAGTTGAGGTCAACTATTAGTTTTTCTGTTTCGGAACAGAGTGGATTGGAATATATTTTGATTTATTAAGTTTATTAAGACATCTAGTATATGGGTGATTCTAGTAGAGCTTCTTGAATGACTGTCATAATTGGTTAGTAACAGTAATTACCTAACAACGATTTAGGAGTATTAGCTGGTTCAGTTTGTTGTTTGTAAATTTCTTTATCTTTTTGGTTTTGTCATTGTGCGCATGGGGTGAAAGACTGCATTATTATTTCCTAGATGGACATGATAAACACAAGGATATTGTTGATTTTTGGATCTGTGAGAGGTTATAACTTTATTTTCTTATCTTTATTCCTTTTCTTTTTTTAACTTTTATAAATAATTATGCAATTTCCTTGTTCATCATTTCTAACTTTTTGTCAAGTTAATATAAGTATTACAATCTCTTGTTTTTCTGGGTAGCTTCTAATGCTTCCACTTGTTAACTTGCAAGTTTCTGCTCCCTTGCCTGTAGGAGTTGCACTTGATCCATCAAAATGTAGTAAATTGAGTATGGATGAAAAGAGGGAACTTGTCTATGAATTATCAAAGAGGACAAATAGGGCCTCTGAAATGCTACAATCATGGAGCCGTCAGGAGATTTTACAGATCCTATGTGCTGAGATGGGGAAGGAAAGGAAATATACTGGCTTGACCAAGCTGAAAATAATAGAGAACCTTTTGAAAATTGTAGGTGAAAAGAATTCAGGGGATCATGAGGGTGTAACACTTACTGAGTCGCAATCTTCCCCAACAAATGGCCAGAGAAATTTCAAAAGGCAAAGGAAAGCTGATCATCCTTCCCGACTGCCCTTTCTGGTGAATGATCTTGCAATCAATAATGGTGGAATTGATATGACCAATGCTATTTATTGCAAAAACTCGGCTTGTAAGGCTACCTTGAGACAAGAAGATGCATTTTGCAAGAGGTGTTCCTGCTGCATCTGTTGTAAGTTTGATGACAACAAGGATCCTAGCCTGTGGTTAATTTGTAGCTCAGAGCCTCCTTTCCAGGGCAATTCTTGTGGCATGTCATGTCATCTTGAGTGTGCTTTAAAACATGAGAAGTCTGGTATTCAAAAAGATAAACAACATGCTGGATTTGATGGGAACTTTTATTGTGTAGCATGTGGGAAAGTAAATGATTTGCTCGGGTAAATACTCCTAGTTGTTATTTATTCTCTCTCTTTCTCTCTCTCTCTCTCTCTATATATATATATATTACCTTTGTTTTTGTTTTGTCTGTGTGTTTCTTTTCTTTGGTATACTGTTCAGTGAGTTTGAGATTTTGTTTTCTCTTTTTTTTTTTTTTTTTCTTTTCTTCTCTGTTTTGCTTTGGTACTTTGCATATCTTTTGGTCCTTAGAAATTATGGATATTTTTCAACCACCATAAATGCTAGCACTTGATATGTACTAGTAATTTGTTTAAAGATCCTAAATTTATCTCTTTGATTGTTTCCATTTTGTACCTCATGGTTGTGATTCTATAAGCACTAGGAGATGACTGATTTGCAAATAACTTTTGCTGCTATCAGACAATATCAAACTTTCATCGATTGTATTCTGCAGCTCTGTTTAATCAGCTTTATGCTTTTAGTGTGTGTGTGTGTGAGTGAATGCACCTTGTTGTGGCTTATGCCCTATGGATAGTTTCTGTTCTCCATCTATTATTTTCCAATTTATTCTAATGTTATTTGTTGACAGTAATTTCAATTGTTTTGGCAATTCTGGCTCTGATGACAGAATCTTTAGGTTGCAGAATTTCCTTAAGTTTTCATTGTGATATCGTGAAGGATTAGCTCGGAACTTTTAAATTTCAAAGGATAACATAAAGGAAACATTTCATAATGAGAGATGTTGATCTGGTTTGAAGGAGTAGCTGCATGACTGGAACTTCTGAATAAAATGAACCAAGATACTGGACTTCTATATTTGCTCTTAAAATCCAATAAATCTGACAATTTTTTAGATTGTTGCATGAATAGTGAGAGGTAATCTTTGAGTGTCAAGCAACATATTTAAAAACTTAACTAATGATACAAGTATTGGCAAATTGAAGGAAAATGCTTGTTCAAGATGCTCTCAGGTCCTTACTGACTTGAGGAGTTTGTGACGCAGATGTATAACTTGTAAAATTTATTGGAAGTTAGGCAATTTTCAATAATTTTATAATATTCATGAAAAACAAAAGGCATGTAGATAGCTGGAAAGTGGAACCCTCATTTTAAGTGGGTAAAAATGTACGCCATCTTATGTTGTTTCTTCTTCAGTCTAAACATAATATTCGGGGCCACATAGAATGTACTTGGTCTGAGGTCTGAAATAAGCCTGTCTGATAGTTTCCTCATGTAACATTTAATAAATTTATAAATCTTGAGTGCCTATCTCAGTTGCAAAATTTCATGGCTGTTCCTTCACATCATTTTCACCTTTGATTATTTTTAATAGATTATCCTGGCTTTTCATAGGGCTTTTATCGTATTTCTTATTTAATTGACAATGCCTAACTCTTAAATCTTTAATTCAATTATCATCTTACCTTCAGTAGGTGACTTCTCAAATTGTATTATGCTTGTTGTATATCTTACTGTATTCTCTGGAGAATTTCAGCATTCTATTAAACATCTCTGGCATGATATAGTTGCATAAAATCATGAATTCTGCATGCTGGTTTTATTATCAAGAAGTTTCATTTATTTTGTGCTACAGACTGGCGCATGCACCATTGACATATTAATGTTCTAAAGTTTTAAAAAAAAAATCAGTTGTACCATGCCAATTGAAAATATGTTAATTTTCCATTCCCTTGGTCCTTTTGTCCGCTTTTCTGCTAGCTCTATGAGAATAAGCAATTAGTTGAATTACCTCCAAGCATAGATTGGAGTCATACTGCAAGAATTAGCAGTAAAATTATCAGTGCAATTCTTTTAGTTGAGTGAATCTAATGTTCATCTTAATTTTGCTAGATTGGTGTAAGATAAAAGTTGAATATTTTAACTCTGATCGGTCCGTTTGTTAAGTGTATTATAGTGTTGTTTTCTTTTCTATTATCTTCTAGAGCCAAGAGTATTTGTTATTGTAGTTTTAATTGCTTTCACTTGTTATCGTATGTATTGGCATTTTGACTTGTTCTTTTTTGTTATCACTTACAATTTTGTTTTGTGCATGTTTAACCAACAATGAGAGGGTTACTTTTCTTCTGTGAGTTTAAATGGTGCACTCTATTTTCTAAAGCATTTGGAATGCAAAAGTGCTAAAGTTACAGTTTTTAATTAATAATCTTTGTTTTTTCTTGATCACTGTATTTTCCAAGCACTATCATATTTAATTTTACAGAGTAGAGTTCGTGATTCCTCTGGCCTTTTAAGAAGATGTCTTATATGTTTCCAAGTTAATTTTAACTGATTTCTCCTTCAGGAGTTTATTTAAGTTTAGAAAATTTCATCTGTAAAGGTTATTACTTTGTCAAGATGAGGATGAAAGGCAATTGAGCTGTTTTTTTTAAGATTACTTGAATTTGGTTTTCAAGGAGTATACTACATTATGTCACATTTGCATATATGATAAGTCACATTTTAAAGATTTATTTGGCATTCATTTTTGCCACTTCTTGCCTAGCTTTATTCTTCTAGACTGGGATTATACTCTTATTTAATGCTGTACTTTGGCCATGTAGTTTGATTCTCATGCTTTACAGTGTGAGCTAAAAGTATTACTTCAACTATTTGCTATTTGATGTACTAGGATAATGAAAACTTATGCCCTCCTCAGAGACAAAGTTGAATGAACTATAAATTGATTATTAAGGAAAATCAACACAATATCTCGTTAAATTACTTGTTATATTGTAGTAGTTATTCCGTATACTTAAGACCATCAGCAATTATATGTTTTATGAATCATGTTGCATGTGTTATGTGATTTGCTTTCTCTTTAACGCAGCACAGACACGCACAGAGACAAAAGGACAAAGAAATTTCTCCCTTTTCTCTATTTATTTACAATATTTCTAGAAACTCAAACCAAAGATATTGTTTCTTTGTGGAATTTTTGTTCTCATTATTATACATGTTTGTCACTCAGTAAATTGGTATACTTACAGTATTCTGTTAAATATTTGTGCATGTTTGAAATGTTGGTACTACATTCTGAAAGCCACTGTGGTGTGTCACTGAAGTTTCATTCATTGGTTTGGCTCTAAGCTCTAGAGAATGTTAGTTTATGAACCTTCTTTTATCAGAAAAACCTAGAATTCACTGTTGATAAGCAAAGCAGTTGAAATAATGGAAACTTTTTGTGTCAACTAAATTTGATATTGATACTCTAATAATGCCCCTTGCAACACTATATTAGGAAAAAGGGATGTAAACATAAATATACTAAACCAAAAATATTGATTATGTTAATTGTTAAATGATACTTTTGTTATTTATTTAACAAAGAATGTCAATAGACAGTCTGATCAAATCGGTTCCAAATACTTCCCATCTGCATTTAGGTGCTGGAGAAAACAACTGATGGTGGCAAAAGATACGAGGAGGGTGGACATACTCTGTTATCGCGTCTCTTTAGGACAAAAACTTCTTAATGGGACTGAAAAATACCAAAATCTTTTTGAGATTGTTGATGAAGCTGTTAAGAAGCTTGAAGCTGAAGTAGGTCCATTAACTGGTGTGCCTGTGAAAATGGGTAGGGGTATTGTTAACAGGCTTTCTTCAGGACCAGAAGTTCAGAAACTCTGCTCTTCTGCAGTGGAGGTACTGGACAAAATGCGTTTTGATGCTATCTCAAATCCTTCCCCAGATCATTTGATACCAGGTAATCTTTTACTTGCTCTCCTGATTAAATGGGTTTTCTATTACCTCAGATGAAGTGTTAATCCTGTGTAATCTTTTACTTGCAGCAGAAGTTTTAACTTACTTTAATTTCAGTTCTTTACCATGCAGTTACCTAACCTTCAAGTAAAATTTTGATGGTATATATTTTGTTGATTTAGTGTATAAATTTGTCCTTCATTTTCACCAGGTTCAAGTTCGACTTCTCCATCTATTGTACGCTTTGAAGATGTTCAACCAACTTCCATTGCTGTGATTGTGGGTTGTGAAGAAACTTTACCCGGCAGTATTATTGGTTACACCTTATGGCATCGCAAGGTTCATGATAGGGATTACCCTGTTAAATCAACTTGTACCCTGTTTGTGCCAAATACAAGGTTTGTGGTCACAGGGCTGACTCCAGGTACAGAGTATAATTTCAAAATTGTCTCCTTTAATAGGACAAGAGAGTTTGGCCCATGGGAAGTTCCAATTTCAACAGCCTGTAGCGGGGAGGAAGTCCCAAGCTGCCCAGTGATGGAAAGAAGTCAAAGCCCAGCAACCAACTATAGCAGCCTTTCTAATCCATCTTCTGTGGAGGATGAAACTAATAACATTACTACGTATAGTGATCATACTGATGACCGGGCAGATAATTATGTGACATATTGCAAGGACGCTGATAAAATTGTTTCCACAAATCTATCTAAGGGTGCTATCAACTGCACTGTCCTTGGTGGAGATGGAACTCCAGCAGATGCAGTTTCTCTGTTGGGTGAGGAACGTGCCATGGAGATGGTTGGTCCTATGCCTGAATCTGTTGTCATAAATGTTGAGAAAAAGCACACATCGCAGGACCCAATTACTGAGGATACAAGCACTGATAATGGCTCTGATGCCCCAGTTCAGATTGGTACCGAGTGTGTGCCATTTGTGGGTTGCTCAGAAGCTGGTTTGCCCATTACTCCCTGCAGGATGGAAATAATTAAAGATGGACAAGGATGGAGTGGGAGATCTAAATCCAGCAACAAGGACCTAGAGAATGGGGCTGGGAAAGGAGAAGATCCCCAAGATGGCAGCACCTGGAAGAAGAGAAGCGGGGAAAGGCGGGACGAAGAATGTGTGGAAAATGGTCTCCCAGATACGGATTTTGAGCATTGCGTGAAGGTGATCAGATGGTTAGAGTGTAAGGGACATATTGAGAAGAACTTTAGACAGAAATTCCTCACCTGGTACAGCTTGAGAGCAACCCCACAGGAGGTAAGGATTGTGAAGGTCTTTGTTGATATTTTCATTACAGATCCAGCAGCACTTGCCGAGCAGCTTGTTGACACATTTTCAGATTGTATCTCAAGCAAAAAATCATCCGTGGTGCCCGCTGGCTTTTGCATGAAGCTTTGGCATTGACGTCAATGGATCATGCTGAGATTAAGTAGTTTTTGAGTGCAAACCTGCTCAGAGTTTGTGTTAAGCATAATTCTTTAGACCCATAACATTCTTCATATAGACTGTCACCATGATTTGTATTTACCATTAGCTTTTGCCATTCTTATGATTATGTAAGAATGCCAGAATTCTTATCCTTTTGTATAACATTTCATCGCTCATTCACTCAGGTTGTAAGTCCTAATGTTGTTTCAGTTTCATTCTTTATAATTTCCTTATATATGTCTCAAGCAAAAGTAATAGCAATCCAAGATCACAGTGTAATGGATGCGTCCACATTGAATGGCAGGCATTTTACCTAAAATCTCATTTTAAATTAAATATATTTGGCGAGGTTGGTATTTGGTAGTGCTTAGGAGGTGAGGTTAATTTTGAAAACTGGTCCCTATGTCGTACTCCTCTGTTTCATAAATAATACCGAGTTCGATTTTTTAAGACAATTTTTTCATTTTTGGTCGTTGATCATTTATAAATTTTGTTAAACTAGCACAATCTTTTAATCAGTTACAAATATAATTTGAACCCTCTGGAAGTTCTAGTACTAATGTCTGGATTTTGACTACCATGGTAAAATACTGGATTGTTAGACGTCAGCAGACTGTAGATAACTGTAGCTCGTAGTTTGACATAGGTTCTTCAGTTACTGAGGATCCTGTTGGCTCGACTGCCTTTTTTAATTTTGAGGTTGAAAGTTATCCCACTTCCCACATGCTGCAGCTGTATATAGTAAATAATTTCAACTTGGTACCATTATTACCGATATTAAATATATACTTAGCTGACGGAAACGCCAAAGGGATAGAAATGAATCATCTGTCATCCATAGTTTTGATTTCAAGTGGTTATGCTGACGTCCTCAACTTGGTATTATAGCGAAGACACCTCAGTGGAACCATTGGTCAGCGGGTCCCAACCTTTTTTCCCTGCTTGCCAAAGCTACAGCGGGGGGTAATAGTAAAAAAAAAAAAAAAAGCAAAGAATTTGTGATAAAACCAAAGCCGAAGAGCCTTAAAGGCCCCTTCACTGTCTCGTACAAATCGTCTTCTCAGCAACTTTCTTTCACTTTTAACAAACCATACATCAGCTTACAGACATCAAGCCGACTTCTTTTGTGCTTTCATTTTTCCCATTTCCATGTCAACTTCCTCAAGATAAACTATTGTTCGTTTATAGTCGGTCGTTTTATAGCTTATTCAATTTTCTTTGGACATCCAGCCCTGCTCCAAGATGTCTGCCGGAATCTTTGCAGCTCCACTCGCTGGTTCTGGCTATGTTGGCTTGAAAACCAATGTTCCAAAGCTGCTCCCATCTAACGATTCCTTTGCATGGAGCCGGAAAACTGTTTCCAATGGTTTAAGAATTCACTGCATGAAGTTACTGTGATGAGAGTAAAATATCTGGAAACTGCTCAACGTGTGATCTTATGTGTTTAGCTGCTTTCTAATGTGTAGTTGACTTTTGATTTAACAGACATGGAATCCAATCAATAACAAGAAGTTTGAGACGCTTTCTTACCTTCCACCTCTCTCAGATGACTCGATTGCAAAGGAAATTGACTACATGCTGAAAAAGGGGTGGATTCCTTGTCTTGAATTTGATGAGGTAATACGAACTATATATATATGTTCCTCTTACAGCTGCAATATTCAGAATAAAAACCTTTTTCGTTGTCCACAAATCAATAATCTTTTTTTGTTTAACTTATAAAAATTGCAATCAAAGTCCTCTCCATGCATCCCAGTCAAGCTATTCTCCTCGTTTCACTATGCATGCATCTCTGGATAATCATTTTTCAATCCATCGGCTATGCTTAAACAGAATTGGTTGCAGAAACCTTCTTGTTCTGGTTCAAGATCCCAGCTTACTACCTATCAACTTAATTTTTTTTCAGTGTTTTCTTCTCTCTGTACAGCCAGCTTTAGTGCTGCAACGGAAAAAAACCAAAATCAGATAACCGAGATCTAATTAAAGAAAAAAAAAAACAGATTTTAAGAATTGATTTATACTTGTCTCCATTATTATTACTTCATTAGAAAATTAGAGATCATTTCCTGGAATCTTTTTTTTTTTTTAAAAATACTATATTAGGAGTTATTGTGGTATTTGTTTTTTGTTCTTTCATTTTTGTTTACCGGGGTTTGCCTAGGTTCTAACAGTTCAAAAACTGCTTTCCTTTAAAAAAAAAAAAATTAGGTGGGGACTGTCCACAGGGAAAATAGCAGAATTCCAGGGTACTATGACGGGAGGTATTGGACACTCTGGAAGCTGCCAATGTTTGGATGCAGCGACTCCTCTCAAGTCCTGAATGAAATTCAGGAATGCAAGAAGGCATACCCAAATGCGTATATCCGCTGCCTGGCATTTGACAATAAGCATCAGGTTCAGTGCATGGCTTTTGTCATTCAAAAACCGACAACCACCAGCAGCAACACCTAAAGCATAAATGGGGTTTTCCCATCATCTCCTCTCCTTTCTTTTACAGCTTTTCGTCGACTTCCCTTTTATTAATATATAATTAATATATGATCCCTCTTTTTCTGCCAATAAGATGAATGTTAAAAAGTGGGGTTGTTTTGTTGAGGTACTATTTCTGATATGCTTTTATATTATTATTGTTATGTACTGCGGCAGTCTGTGTGACATTTGATTAGCACATGGTTTTGGGCTTTCTTTTCAATGGGGGAAGAAGTAGGACCACCCAATTGACTTGGTTCCAGTTTTAACGTGCTTCCAACCAACTTTCTCATTATTCTAATACTAATAATTAATTAATTAATTAATTAATTAATACACTATTCTTATATGATTTTTCCACTAAAAACCTTCAGCCTTTTGTGGTGGAAAATAACACGCTGCTTTGCAATTCAAGTATATGTTTGAAACCACCAAAAAAAAAATGTAAGATAAAATACTAAAATAATCTGTAATTATCTCATTTTCTAAAATAAGTGATTAATGATTTTATTGTCCCAAATAAACTTATATTCCAAATAAAAGAAAATTAACTTTTTTTATAATCAACACAGATTAGACTTTTTTCTTCCGTATGAAAACTGATCTTGCCTAATAACAAACCCAAAATTGAGAAAATGATTTATTGTAATGAGGCACTATTTTTTATCCACATGAAAACTAATTTGACTGAATTGTAAGACTCAATTAAAATATATATATATATTTATTTATTCAAATGAGGCACGAAACAAAGCCTCTACGAAGTTCCGCGGGTTCTAATATCCCGTTGTTCTTCGGATATTTTTTCAGTAGCTCAACAGGAGAAGAAAACTTCCTGTTCATATTGCTCATGACCTGAGAATAAGAATTAAACTCTATGAGATCTAACGTTTCATTGTTTGATTTTTGCTCATGGATTGAGAATGAGAATTAAGCTCTATGAGATCTAATGCCCCATTGTTTGAATTTTTTTTCACGTAATACCCTAATGACGAAATCTAAAATTGAAAAAAATTTATTTCTTGATAAATAAAAAATAATAATTGTTTTACTTCTTTCTCTCTCCTTTCCTCCTGATTCTTTCTCCCGACCCCACAATCCTAATCTGTTTCGACCATTATCCGATTAATGGTCCGATTGAATCAAGCCAACCGAGACCGAATTCAATAAGGCCGAAAACAACCCCAAAACTAGCCTAAATGGCTTGGCAGACCAAATGTAGCTCCAAATTCGATTTCTTTTAAAACCGTTTTGACCCATTTTAAGGTCGTTTTCGGACTTGCCGACCCCAAATACAACATGACTGACTTTCTAATGACCAGAGCAGACATGAGTCGAGGATGAAGAGTGAGAGGCAAGAGATAGAAACGGAAGAAAAAAGGAAAAGAATAAAAACAAAAACAAATATATTATTTTCATTGTTCAAGTAATTTTTTTTTAAATTTTCAGATTGTGTCCACGTCATAAATAGTTGATTTTGCCATAACATTAAGCCGCATCAGCATCGTGGACAAAAAAATTCTACTGACATTGATCGTAACAGAAGCAACCTTCCATTTGGAATAAAAGCTTATTTTAATATAAATAAAAAATTAAAAGCTTATTTGAATATAATAAAAGTGAAATACTTCATAAATTCCAAAATAGTATCTGAAATAGGGGAGGTAGAAAACAACAAAAGGCATATATAAATGCAGAAAAAAGGTTCTGAACATTCAACAAACGGCATGCAACACTCACAAATACAACATCCAAATCCGGCAGTTGTAATCACTTGGCACAATTAGATGCTACATGATAATACAATTATCAGAATTTCGAGAAATGAGTCACAAAAAGCACCATGCAAAGGGCTTAAAGCCTCACATGTAAATATAGATGTCATCCCTGATTCAATTTGGCTAAGAAGCCACTACAATCTGCAAAACACACCAACTATGATTAAAATCCAACAAAATTTTACTCAAACAAGGTTCCTTTTTTATCAAGCCCCATCCAAAGGGCTCAAAAGTTTACCACCATATCTTGTATGTATAGGGAACCGGAATTTTCTAAGATTGACTTCCATGTAAAATATGATCTCTGCTAAAGCAATCACCTATCTATAAATTCTTTCTTGAAGGACATAGACGCAAATTTGAAGTGAAAATAGAAAACAATACTCATTCCTGGAAAATATGCCCAATTTTTAAATGGTTGACAATATTTAAACTCATGGTAGTGAATTCTGAACCCTAGATTTTTTAACTTTCACTCCATGAATATATGAAAAAGAGTTTCTTAGATCATTAACATTGCACAGAGCACCCAACCAATTACAGTCATTTTTACTTTCTTTTTTTTTTATGCAGCAACTTAAATGATACTCAATCGATCAGCTAAAACAAGTGAATGCCAAGTTACAATATAAATTGCAGACAAAAACACAGTCCTTGAATACTTCTGGAGGATGCATCCTTGATTGCTGAGGCCAAAGTTAACAACCACATAAAAGAAGGATCAAGTCTTGACAAATCAAGATTAGCAAAGGCTTTAAAAACTGTGGAACATGACCTATGATCATCTAAAAGCTCAAACAAACAAGTGGTTTTTTAGGCTTACACTATTGACATTGTGCAATTTATGTGTCAATATTTATATATCAAGAAAAAGAATCAAGGATGTGTTGTCCAATGAAATCCCTTTATCGACCATGTTACCCCAAATGTAATAAAGGAAATCTATTTAATACAATACAAACGACATCATAGTAATTTTACGTTTTATGGGATCCGTTGTAATTTTAATATATTTAAGGGTATTTTAAATTATTCAAACTAATTCGTAATGCACGGTCTCATTTATCAAGTATTAAAGTCTAGCAATAATTTATAAATACCAATTATTTCAGTTGTAGTAGTTTTTTATTATATCAACTAGTGAGTTTTGAGTTGTTAGCATTTGATTATTGAGACAATATAAATTGAGATTTGAGTATGAGATTTTTCGCCGTTGGTTCTCTTTTGGATTTTAATATTCTCCCTCATTTTCTTGTGCTTTCTTCCTCTGTCCCTCTAATTTTTATTTGTGTTTTATTTCCTCTATCTTTGCCTTCCTGTACTACCTCATGAGAGGAAAAAAAAAAAGTTCAAAGACTGTCTTAGAGATAAGAAGAGTACCACTAAACTATATGCAACTGTTTTAAGCCAGGTAGAAAAAATAACCAGTCTTGATAAAGTAAGAGTGACGTAGGACAGCAACGTGATAAGAATTTGACTGTTTTGTAATCTGAAATTCTTGAGAAAGCACAGAAAAATGGAAAAAGAAATGGGAACAAAAGAAAAGATCCCTAAGCTTCACAGCTTGGGTTACTAGGTTGCATCATAAAATCAAGAAAGAAATGAACCTATGCTACACACCTAGGATTTTCTTGATTGCATCGCACAATCTAAAAGCATAACAATAGAAATTCTGATGTAAAGCTATATCTCGATAGAAAGCAGGCATTGATTTGACGATATAGAATCCCTAATTCTAAAAGAATTAGTACTCCTAGTCGATATAGGACTTTAGAAAATATATTTACACTCCAAATAGAAAATTATCAAACTTTAAAAAAAAAAAAAAAGAACAGTGAAATCCAAACTCAGATCCTAAACCCTAAAATAAATGTAAAATACCAAAGATAACTCTAAATCTACAAAATATTACAATTAAGCCCCATAAAATCTGAAGTTAGTTAATTCCTCAAATTTGAATACACATGGCAGAAATTTATATTGATGAAAACTCAGATAGAGCTCCCAACACAGTATGTGTCCAGGTGCTAGGCTGTTGGCTCAGACTCAAAAAGGATTCATAGTCTATTGGAGTGAGTGTTGGACATGGCTATGCGTCCAATACAGGTACATTCAAATGTTCTCAAGTTTTCCTTATATTTGAAGGATCAAAGCCCCATTCTCCACTTTGAGATATCTAATATGTGTCTGACTTGAGTATTTTAGGAAGTGATAAATTGAAATATTTCATATGTATTAAATATAATATAACAAGGTATATAATATATCCTCTAACCATTAAAGAAAAAACCAATAGATATAACTAATTTGAGATTCTACAAACTTATAAGGCTTATATGCAGCCTGTTTGTTTTCCAATCTTCTCCTCCACCATTCAATGGTGTTAGGATGGCGTTTGTAAAGTGCCAATTTTGGGTTATGTTCGTAGGCTAACATGTTTATATTATCTTGGAGAAAAGCTTGTTCACACCAATTGGAGGAAAAAGAAAAGCAAACTTAGATTTGTATGCCTAGCACACAATTACTCAAGTTAAAGAAAGCCTAAGCAACATGCTGTATACCGCATAATATTTTCACTCAAACTTTCTTGCTGCTACATCACAAGCTCTAAAACTCCAGATCTTTCACTTGATTGACCTATGTGCCATCAAAAAACATGTTTTAAAACAGTCAAGTTCTCTAGCTTCGGGCACTGGCTGCTACTAATCTAAAATATTAAGCTCATCTCCACCATGATCATCTGAATCACCAGGGAAATCTAATACACACTAATAGGAGCCATATATAAGCTCAGAAGGAAAATGGATGATATAGGAAGGAAAAGAGTTGATAGGGCCTAGGGAGATTACACAAAATTATATTTTGTAGTATTGTTATATATTATGTTTTTAGTGTAGTTCTTTAAATAGGATTTAGAATATTCTAGATTGTTTAGGCTATTTTGTACTATTAATTATCATTTTACTTATTTTCTCTAGTATTATGGTGTTGAGGCTATAATCGGAGTTTTGCAAGATATTAGGGGTTTAAAATAGTCCTTACCCAGATTAGAAGTGCCATTTTTTATGCCACTAGAAATAGTAGGAATCCACATATATCAAGGCATTATTTCTATTGAGATATGGAATTATTCTTGGAGAATTTCCAGAATTATAGCACAGGGAATTGTGTGATGCACTAAACTGATTCATAAGAACTAGGTTCCTCGTCTGGATTCTTGAGAAAGCTTAGGAAATTTGAATAAAAAATAGAATTTGGCTACAAAAGACAGCTAGTAACATGGACATCCTATACCATGGAAACTGAGTTCCAAAAATCTGCCTTCATTTAATCTAAAAGATACACCTTATCATGGTACATCAAGTAAGTCAAGCACATACGCTGTCAATTATGCACCTTGTAACTAACTCACCAAACTTTAACATTTTCAAATATGAATGCTGCTTGACATCTTTCCGGCACCAAGTATCATTAAATATATGCCTTGCTTTTCATGCCAGCAGTCAAAATGGATGACCATCCCCAGTGCTAGGAAGATGACTAACCTGCATGGAACAGCAACTTGGGATAGACTAAGCTTCAAAAATAACAGACACAGACACTTACAAAAAGTTGTAGTAGGATAATTACACTTCTAAATCCTAAAATATGCTCAAATTTTTATTCAAAAGAGCAACAACTCAGATTGTACAGTAACTCTAATAAGAACTCGAATAACAGAAACCAATTTATTTGCTATGGCAGAACATGCTGAATTTCCTTAGAGCTAGTTACTTTCAACATTAGTCTTCCTTGTAGTAATACTAATAGGAATGGAAAATCAAACAATATAACTTAAATATGGAGTGATTCCAAGTTCACTAATTAAACTGAAACCAACAAGCATTCACTTACAATAACACAAAAACGAGAAAACCCAAGAAAAAGAAAATCATGAAACGAAATAACATCCAAATCAGCAGTCACAAAAGCAAAAACCCTAACCTTGAAAATGCTTTCAATCGATTAATGAATTCTAACGATTGCGCTCTGCGGGCAATGGACGATTAAACCCGCCTCTTCGATTCATATACTGCCTAGGCTGCCGCTTAGTCACAGCCCTAACGCCACTAACATCAGCCCCAGGCACATGTTTTCCTTTTGTGGAATCAAAACCAACTGGAATCCCTAACTTCTTCATCATCTCCATCTCATCCTCGTCCCCACCATCTCTATTCTCATTCTCATTCTCATTATTTTCTTTCTTTTGCTGCTGCTCTTTAGCTATCCCGTCCACAAAATCCGACACTGCCTTTTGCCTATCCTTCTCCCTCTCCTCGCTTTCGTGGCGGTGCCGTTTTCTAGGCGGCTCCGCTGATGGTGTTCGGTGCCGGTTCCGGTGATGACGGTAGGAGGAGCGTTCCGGGGAGCGCGAATGAGAAATGGAGCGTGAACGGTAGAGTTCGCGGTCGGCGGAACGCGTGTGAGAGCGGGCGTGACGAGACCGGGTGCGCTCCGGTGTATGGGATCTCTTGCTGCGGGGCCGTTCTCTATCTCTGTCTCTGTCTCTGTCTCGATCTCGGTCGCGTTCGCGGTCATCTCTGTCGCGTCGGCGTTCTCTGTCGCGGTCACGTTCACGTTCTCGGTCTCGGTCTCTGTCACGGTCCCTCTCGCGTTGCCTGTCGCGATCTGACATTGTGAAGGATAGCGGTGGGTGTGGACGGAATGGCGTCTAGTACTTCCCGTTGGAGCCAAGTGAGTAAGAATTTTGGGGAGGGCAATTTTATAAATCCTGGAAGAGGGAAAGGAAAACCCTGTGGTTTTAACCTTTTCGAAATAATAAATAAATACTATTTTTTTATGAAACAAAATAAATTGTAATTAGTGTTCCTAAATGCATTTCAGTCTTTTCCTTTTATATCCCAATTTTTTGTAAAAAACTTTTTGCAAATAAAATTACTTTTTTTATACAAAATTTTGAAAATAAATTTTGAGAAAGTCATAAACTTTTTTTTAAAATAAATTTAAATTATAAATTTTAAAAAATGAATTTTTGAAAAGTTAAATTTTTGAAAAGATTTATAATTTTTTTAAATTCATTTTCGAAAAATTTGACATTTCAAAATTTTATTTTCAAAAAATTATATGATATTTTAAAAATTTATTTTTGAAAAGTTATAAAATTTCATAAAGTTATGAAGAAAATAATTAAGTAGGTTTACTTTTAAAAAATTTAAAAAAAATTGAGATGTGAAAAAAATAATGATACATTTAGCAGCACTAAATTGTAATTAAGAATCAAGTGTTTTTCTCTCTTTCAGTTTCTATTAAGTGTTTTTTTCTCTTTTTAGTTTCTATAATGTATTTGGTGAGCCCTTAGCTGAAGAACCTGTTTGGATTGATATATTGAAGTATTACCATTGGAACAAGATTTTTTAATATTTTATTATGGAATGAAATAAGATCATGCATTTACAGTAAATTTGTCTATAAATCGGGTTGGTCTAATCAAATTGGGTGATCCATTTAAAATTTTGCTAAAAAACTTTGCAAGTTAGTTCGCGAAGTTAAAAAATTTGAAAAATTTATAAAAATAGATTAAATATCATAAATAATTTTTAATTTATAATAAAATATTTAATATTAAATATAATTTAAAATTTTTTTTAATACGATACTAAATTATGAATTTATTTATTAATATGAAACTTATTTTTAATGTGACAAATTTTGAATGATGATAAGTGAAGCACAAATAACATTTTAAGTCTTTATATTAATCAATAAATTTATAATTTATGTATCACATTTGAAAATTTTAAAGTTTATATACTTTATTTTTGCTCTTCACACTCCAATTTTTTTTATAAATTTTTTAAGTGAAATTATTTAATTATCTTTATCATAATTTTTTTTAGAGTTTTATAATTTTTCATAAACAAATTTAAGGAAAATCATATAATTTTTCAAAAATTAATTTTTGAAAAGTTATAAACTTTTTTGAAAATTTGATTTTCTAAAAATTCATTTTTAGAAAGATTTATAATCTTCAAAAATCTATTCTCAAAAAATTATATGATTTTCAGAAAATTTATTTTTAAAAAAAATTTATGACTTTCTAAAATTTACTTTTAAAAATTTATATAAAAAATAATTAAATAATTTCACTTATAAAAATTAAAAAAAAAAGATATGAAAAAAAAAAAAACTGGAATACATTTAACTGTACTTAAAATAAAATGTACTACCTTAAAAATATTAATTATTTTAAAATCTCGGGCTAGATCCGAACTCCGAAAACCTTGTTCAAGATATAGCCTGACAAAGCCCAGCCCTAGCTCTTGAACTCAACAAAATTATTCGTTCTTTCGAAATATTCATGCATTTACAGCAAACAAAATTGTTTCGTCGTTTGGTTTAGTTAAGATATTATTGTAAGTATTTGATTATCGTGTTAAATTCAAAATTAATATTCTTTAAAAAGATTAGAGAAATTTCATAAAATTTTAAAAATATTTTTTAAGTAAAAATTTTTGTATTAAACATTTATCAACTTTCAGCATCCTTTTGGCAAAAAATAAAATAAAAATTCAACATCCTTTTTTTTTTCTCATGATAAACCATTATTAATGTGTAATAAATTTACATTGGGTGATTTAAACATAATGTAAATTACAACTTAGTTTAAAATTAACAAAAAGAGAAATACGTATTTTTTAAATAATTTACGCTAATTACTCGTGGGACAATCTCATTTATTAGAAAATTGTAAACTTTTTAATCTTTGAAAGATTTAAAAATACATATAATCCTAATTTTAAAAAAAATCTTTTTCTTAATTTGTTTGAAGAAGGATTTATTGTTCAAATCTAAGATTTTTTTTATTAATGTTCATTTTTTTGTCTTTCAAAAGTTAATTTTTTTTTTGTATGTTCTAACAAATAGAATTAGAGAAATCTTTCTTACACTCTATAGAGAAACTCATTATTTGCTATGTGTGAAAGACAAAATCATTCTTACACTGTATAGAGAAAGGTGAGCTTGTAGAAAAATGTTTTATAAAGGGAAAAACTGATTTAAAAAAACAAGTATTTCAAATTCTCACAATGGGATAATTTGAGATAAGCATTGTTTTCAGGGTAATGTGATGGTTCTGAGGTAATTTGGACTCAGTATATCAAATGAGATTAATTTATCACATGATTAATGCTAAATAAGAGCATTTCACTTATAATTTTTTAATATAATTTTTAATTATTTAATTATATTAAAAAATTATGTAATGATTCATCACTTATAAATATAATTTTTATATAAAATTTTGATGAACTCAACTTAATTTTAAACTATAATTTATTGATGATGTTTTTGGTGTCTCAACTGGAAGAAGGTGAGGTGAGATTGAAGGAAAGATGGCCTAAACCTATAGCCAAAAAATACAGTTAGAGGGCACTGAAATTATTGCTCTGGCGCATGTTTTGACACTCAAATCAGTGATGTATCTAGGATAAGGGTAATGAAGAAAGGAAGGAGAAAGGCAAAACAAGGAAGAAGGTGAAGTGTATGTGAGAAGTTTTAGAGGAATGAAAGCCTAGGTGTGAAGTATGGGCATGCCCTATGTACTTGGCTTTCTCACTACCTTATATATAAGATCATGGGCGGTGATATGATTAAAATAGTTGACAGTTAATTAGATGTATACTTTGTTATAATATATTAGTCTAGAGATTTAATCATTAGACGTAAAAAATTTAAAAATACGGAGAGTCATTATTAATATTTTTTAAGGTGTGATTGATCACCTACAATTTTTTTTAATAAAATAATAAAATAAATTTAAAATTTATTAAAAAGATAATTTGGTCTATCAAAACAATATTTGGTTTAAGAGTCAGTTATGTGTAGAGAAGAATTAGTAGTTTCACAGCGCCCATAAAATTGGTATCAATTAATTGTGCACTATTTATAATTTTGGATGAAAATATTTTTATATAAAATTTAATTATTAATTTTGCTTTTCAATTTTTTAAGGAAAGTTAAATCCAATTAAAATCTTTATTTAGAAATATTGTGAACATTTTTTAAATAAAGAAAATACCTTAAATTCTCTAATATAAAAATCAGAATTTGAAGATAATTATTTTTGTCTAAGATTTATCACAACATTTCTTTAAAATAAAAATAATATTCTTAGAAAATAATAATTATTGGTAACTTTCCAACATCTAGGTACGATACCAAAAATTATATTTTTTAAAATTATATTTTGAATTTATTTATTTATTTTTAAAATTAATTTTAAAAAATCAAATGATTAAATAACTAACTTAAATATCAATAATTAAAATAAAACATATATAAGAAATAAATATAAATATGGATGTAAATGTGTGCCCTAAATGATAGTGAGATGCGAATTTAAAATTGAGTTCTTAAATATAAAAAAATCATATGAACTGTTCAACCTTTAGGCAGAGTTAGGATGTGATTTTTTATATTTAAAATCTCATTTTTATTTTATTATTTATTTAATTTTATTATTTTATAATACGAAATTATATGAAAATTTTTAATGAAATAAATTTCCTAAATACCTCATCATTTAGGCAACATTCAGAAACATATTATTTCATGAAGTTAATTTTCATACAAATCCCTAAATTTTATGATGGTTTCGAGGTTTTGGTTGGATTTAGTGTTTTAATTTCCTAAGGTTTTCAATTTCATCTAAGAATTTGGGTTTTGGGTTTCACTTAAAATTTTAGAGTTTCATGTAAGGTTTTAATTTTAAGGTTTCATTTAGGGTTTTAATTTTAAGGTTTCACTTAAAGTTTTAAGATTTCATTTTTTTAATTTTAGGGTTTTAATTTTATTTAGGGCTTTAAAAATTTGTGAACTTCTTTAAAAATCTCCAACATCTAGGTAGATTTTCGAAATAAACTCATTTTTATGATTTTCAAAAATTAATTTATATATATATATATATTCCTTTTCATTAAAAATTTATTATTATTATTATTATTTATCTTTTATTATTTTTATTTCTAATATTTAATAATTCTTCAATATCTAGGTAAAATTATTTTTATTTTTATTTTTAAAAATTTGATTTTGAACTCCCTCCGACATTTAGACAGATATTTTAAAATTGTTATTGTTATTTATTTATTTATTATTATTATTATTATTATTATTATTATTATTATTATATTTTAGGATATAAAAAAATGCAAATAATGACTAAATTGCATCAAATATAAACTAAAAAAAACAGAGAAAACATAGGCATTTGAGCTAAATGACTAAACCATATGCCTATGCCAAGCAAAATGACTAAACCATATGTCTATGCCAATGTAGAAACATACTTAAAAAGTGAAGTTTTGGACTTTTTTTTTCTTAACTATGCACAATTAAAAGTAGTAAAGAATATTTAAATGGAAGCCATGACCGTGAACGATTACTAGTAATAAAGAACATTAAAATGGAAGCCATAAAAAGATTGAAGTTTTTGCTTCTATAAAGAAGCCGTTTGTAGAAAAAAAAAAAAAGAAAAGAAAAAAACATTTATGAAACTAGGATGAAGTTTTAAGCTTCAGTGAGCAACCTTTTTCCCTAACATCTGTTTTACGCCCTTTTTTTGTTAAAAATAAAGTCCTCCACATACAACCAGAAGAAGAAAGATAAAAGCATTCAAATATATACGAAGCTAGCATAACAGAAAAAAAAAACCAACCTCTCACTTTTGCTTTTTTTCTTGTTTCTTTTCTATTTTGGTTTTCTTCATTCACACATGCCTTTCTTTTATTTATTTATTTATTTATTTTTGGTTGTTATTG